TGTGCCGTGCAGGAAACGAGGTGGTCCTGCTGCAAGTCGAGGGACATTGGCCGCGGCTTCAAAGCCGTTCTCTGTGGCGGTCCCAGAACCACCAATGGCGTCGGGATGATTGTCTCTGAACGCTTTCGTGATTCGATAGTAAGTGGAGCGCTTCGACGACCGTTTAATGAAGATCGTTGTCGTCATGGAACATCAAAAATACCATTTCTTCTCTGCGTACGCTCCGCAGACTGGATGCTCCGAGCAAAACAAGGACAAGTTCTGGAACCTGCTTGATGAGAAGACAGCTGAGGTACCGTCACAAGAAGCCATAATTGTTGCCGGTGACCTCAATGGCCACGTGGGCGCTACGAAAGACGGTTATAGCTGTCATGGTGGTTTTGGTTATGGGTCACGTAATACTGATGGCGAACGAATTCTTGAATATGCAGACTCGCATAATCTCGCCATAGTAAACACGAAATTTCGAAAACGTGACTCACATCTTATCACATTCTATAGCGGTAAAACCAGAACACAAATCGATTTCGTCCTTGTTAGGCACCGTGATCAAGGGCTCGTAACGGACGCAAAAGTAGTACCTTATGAAACGGTCGTCACACAACACCGACCATTGATTTGTACGCTAAAAATCGCCCCACCGAGACCGAAACTAGCCGAAAGATGTGGGCCAGCGAGAATCAAGTGGTGGCGACTGAAGGAGAAAGAAGCGGCCGTCGTTTCCCGCATTCGATTACCAGCGGTAACGACTGTCGACGAAACTTGGAAAGGTGCTGCCGAAGCGATCACCCAGGTTGCGCGATCCGAGCTCGGCATGACGAAGCCTGGACGGAGAAAGGTTGATAAGCAAACATGGCTGTGGACGGATCAAGTTAGAGAGAAAGTAAGAGAGAAGAAAAAGCGCTACCACGCTTTTCTTTCGGAGAAGACAGCCGGTTGCTGGCAGCGCTATCAGATAGCGAAGAAAGAGGCAAAGAAGGCCGTTGCTTCTGCGAAAGCAGCTCATTTTGCCGATCTCAATGAGAAACTCGAGTCGCGCGATGGTGAACGGTACGTTTACCGACTCGCAAAGACCCGCTATCGCCAGACCGAGGATATAGAAAAGTTCTTCGGCATAAATGATGCGAATGGTCACCTTCTGACGGACCGCGAGAAAGCATTGAAGCGATGGTGTGAATACTTCGAGAACATCTCAACAGTCGAATTTGCTCATCCCGCCATCCCTTGCGCTCCGCCAGTACACGGCCCCGTTCAGAAGATAACCATGGAGGAGACCATTACGGCCATGAAGAAGATGAAATCAGGCAAAGCGACTGGTCCTGACGACTTAGCGGCGGACTTGTGGAAATCAAAGTGCTGGAATCCTGCACAGTGGTTGACGGAGTTCTTCAACCAGGTCGTTGCAGAAGAAGGTGCCTGAGAGCTGGCAACAGAGCACGACGATTCCAATCTGGAAGAAAAAAGGCAGTCCTGCGGACTGCACTAGCTACCGTCCAATTCGCCTGCTCTCGCATAGCATGAAAATCTTTGAGCGAATTGTAGACAGTCGTATCCGTGACGTCGTCGAGCTGACCACCAACCAGTGTGGTTTTGTTGCTGGTTGCAGCACCATCGATGCCATACACGCCGCTCGCCTTCTGCTAGAAAAGCATCGCGAAAAACAAAAGCCGATACATCTTGCCTTCCTAGACTTGGAGAAGGCTTTCGATCGCAATCGATGTTCATGAGAAACGAATTGGTTCCTGATGCCCGAATTCACGCTCAACGGAACGAACATCACCGAATGCTCCAGCTACGTGTACCTAGGTCGGGAAATCAATATGATGAACGATCTAGCTCCAGAGCTGAGCAGGAGGAAACGAGCGGCTTGGGGAGCGTACAAGAACATCGAGGGAGTAGTGAAGAAGACGAAGAACATCCGGCTCCGTGCCCACCTCTTCGATTCCGCTGTCCTTCCTGCCCTAACCTACGCCTCAGAGACTTGGACTCTGCGCAGGCAGGACGAGCATGCGGTCAGCGTTATCCAACGCGCTGTCGAGAGGACGATGCTAGGAGTAACCCTATACACGCAAGTGCAGAGGGGAATCCGGAGTTCCGAACTACGCCAACGATCGAAGATCAGGGACGCTGCCGTTTTCGCCAAGGAATCGAAGATAAGGTGGGCCGGACACGTCATGCGATTTTGCGATGACCGTTGGACCAGAGCGGTTACCGACTGGATCCCTCGGGACGTCAAACGAACACCTGGACGACCGCCGGCCCGATGGTCAGACTTCTTCACGAAAGCTCTGAACGAAAGGAATGAAGGACTTCGTGTCCCTCGAGCGAGGAGGATCCACTGGACAACTCTAGCACGCGACAGGGACGAATGGAGACGTTGCTGGCGCCCGCTCGAGCAATTCGATGATCAACGGGACGACAGGTGATACAGGTGAAAAGTGAGAGCAGAGCTGCGAAATGGAACGCCAGTGAAGAAAAACGAGGAGAAACCGTTAACGGAGTCAGTAAGAAAACTTCTCTAACAAAAGCAAACGACTAGCTTGGGAGGAAGGCGTGCCAGAGGACTTCTCGGGACATGCCAGCCATTGCTGGCTCAGTGCCAGCGGCAATCAACGCACCTTTCCCAGCCGATCTCACGCCTTATGCCAGCTGCGCACCTCGTTCCACGGTGGGAGGTCATGGCCTATACCAGCCGTAGCCCAAAACATAAAGTTGGAAACCTTATACAGGGCGCTTTCAAGTCACGAGCGTGGCGTCACCTCAATGGCTACAGAACCAGAAATTGCATCATTGGAAAGGGGTTCCTTTGACCGCCAATTCTGTCGCATATCTTTAGATAACTGACAACTGCTAGGATCTTCTTAAGTATGCCATATGCCATAAATATGCACTGGTGGTGGCAGTTCGACTGAAAATCAAAAGCCAATTTGAAAACTAAAAACTCACTTGATGGGCAAGTTCGTGAGCAACAACAAAAGCAACTCGTTCTTTGTTCAACGGTGCATAGTACCTCTCATCGTACAACAAGGCGGTTTCCCTGAAGTCCAATGAATAAAACCATAAAAAGCAGTGGCTGTCACGTCATTTTTCTCATAAACTTGAACGGTTTCTTATTGCTGACGCTGAAAGCTTCCTCACTGCAGTAGGCTGCTGCCTCTTAATTGTCCTCAATGTCTCAAACGGTGCTATTTCACAGATACAAAAAATGTTGTCATTAATTTTTTTGGTGAAGACCAAATTGCGAAATCGCCTTTTTTTCAGCAGTACCAGCATTTGGCCTCAGTAACCAGGGAAGGAATTAGGGCCACTTCTATTCACAGCCCTGCCCTTATAAGCCCAGCACTTTCGTTTGATCGATAAAAGTGCAAAATTGAGCACTGAGGCTGACTTTTGCACCCTCGCCGACCATAAAAAGCAGGTCGAGTAGGATTTGGTCTGTTTTCCATTTTAACTTTTACTAAGCGTTAATATCGCCTGCTTCGATGACCCAAACTGAGTCCACGACTTACTTAATATTAAAGATTTCGCGATTCTTTCTTATCATTTTTCACATTTTTGCTATTCAGAAAAATATCTTCAATCGAACACGCCCGGTGAACATATTCCTCAAAAAGCTACTTGTTTATTATTTTTATTTAGTTATTTACCATAGAACCAAAAGAGCGTAATGGCAAGACACACAGAAAGACACTCGTTGAGAAAGAAATGCCAAGAACCACAAAACTGCGGAAAAAAAACAAGGATGGTAAACGAACCAAAGAAAGCTCACCAAAAAAGATTTCATAGCTTTACGGAATTGAGAAAAACAAGAAAGGTGGATAGGGGAGTTAATGAAGTAGGCAGGGATGCCAAAAATCATTTCAGCTGTGTCAGTGGGAGGGGCAAAAGGGCAAAATTGGCAAGGAATCGATCCCGCAGGCTCCTGTCTATGACCTCGGACCATTGTTGTCTTCTTTCGGCATCACACCTCTGTTCAGAGAAATGCTTCGAAGATATGGAACGTAGTTCTAAACTCAACATCTCAAGTTTAATGCTCTGCTATACGGTTACAAGGCTTCTGTCAACCAAAGGGTGAGAGCATATCTGGAAAAGCACACACTTTGTGTCTTATTGGGACTAAGCCTTTTGAAGAAGATAAAGAAAGAGGAGATGCTGTGATAGTGTGCACTTGTGAGAGCTCCCAGACATCACTACAAAACGCTGAACGCCAAGGCTCACGGTTGACAGATGTCCTGAGACCGTTGGTATACAGCTCATCGCAAATGGTTGAACCGACCTGCTGACCTTCACTTTTCAGCAAAGTGATTGAAGCTCAATAATTGAATAGTGGAGGATTTTTGACTACCCGTGAAGCACCTCCCCCTCTCAAAGGCGGATTCTACAATAAAAAGTTTGCTCACTAGAAACAAGGCTAGAGGTAGTCAGTGACGCGGCTGAAGAAGGAACCGTTTGAATACGGCTCGGAACCCAAGAAATAGCCCGTTCCTTCCCCGTTGATTTCCGCATGATGCAACTCTCATCACTGTGCCCTCTTCAACGCTAACGCTCTCTCTGCTGTGCCGGGTGCTTCGGGCCAACTGCGCCGATGGAAGGCCGTGAAAGATCGTCGGGAGTATATACTTCAATATGAATTGCGTGTTAGTCCCCTAACGGTAAGGGTTCGCCTGCCCCTTCTTCCACTCTCTTTTCGCGAAATCCTCCTTCAAACTTCTTGTTCCCTTAGCCTTTCCTATCGGTTCACTTTTTCACACACTAATTCCACAATGCTACAATAGCTGTTTTTTAAAATTGATTTTTCAATAAAGAATCACCTATAAGTGATGAGGCCCCAGTTCTCCATAGCACCTGCTGAGAAATCAGGAAGAGCAACCATATCTGAAAATGAAAAATTTGGTGAAAATCTGTGGACAGGCTTGCAGACAAGCATGGTGAACGCCCGTTGCTGATGAACAGATTCGGGCACAAACCTTGCTTCTCAAGAGGAAATCGAATGTCGAAAAACGTTTCATAGAATTCCAAACATCTGACACCGGCGTCTAACGCGAACTGTGTCATCTTTACCGCCTCTGGACGTGACCATATTCGGAACTGAATGGGTAAATTCACTTCAACACTCCAGTTAGCCACCAAGCAAGTGCTTGACCTACCCGCACACCGCTTGTTCGTGCGCCCTTCAATATATTTGAATTCTGAGACAATAACGGCCAGCAGATAAGAAGACATTCGTGGAGTGGTTTTGAATTTTGATGTGATCCAATCACCGTTGAGTTCTCTACAAACAACTGAAGAATGCTAGGAATATAACAAGCAATCTATTATTGGGAGGAGAACAAGGGCTTTTCCGGGCGCTATCGCAATATACGGAGGCATTTTGTCTAAACGTGTGCATTCTTGTCAATTGGTGGTTACATGCTCGTTAAGACCTGGTTGAATCCCCAGAGTCAACCCTCAGAACACGTTCAAACGTGTGCAGTCTGACTCAATGCCGGCGGTCACATTCCTACGCAATCCGCTGATTTTTTTTCTGATTCTGTAGCATTTGATCCTTTCGGGCGCAACCGCAAGACATGGGTGATCCTCTAGGACAATCCAGGGGGGGGGGGCAGAAATATCGGGAAAAAATTGCACACACGATCTGGACACTTTCTTCTCCACCTAACAATTAGGCTTGGCTCATATTTAGCAGAAAGATCTTTTGCGCAAAGTGAAATGAAATGTCGCCACGATGTATCCGCATCTTGCGATAGCGCCTTGGAATCATCTGTTCTCTTTCCTTCCTTAAAGGCAAGCCCCGGGAGAAAATTGGTAATAAGAGCGCTTCGTAGTGATTACTGAGTTGTGGGACGGCCTGAAAGTGGAAAGAAAGCTGGAAAATTTTTGGGATCGCTGAAATTACGGCCTTAAAGGAATCTTCCACGGAAAGAGTGATCATTTTGTCTTGTGTGTAGGATTAGTATTATCGAAACTAACGCTTATGTTCCGTTCTTTTTGCTATGCTCATGAGGCTAGGGGCCTAAGGGGTATCGTTTTTCTGTGGTAATGGAGGCGGAGCTTTTTCCGCGGAAGATTCCTTTAACCTTCAAAAATTTAGGATGTGGAACGATGGAGAAGCAGGGCGGTCAAAGAATACAAAACGCGAGAGATCACGCCGTTCGAGAGAGCACGCCGATATCGAGGTGGGTGGGAAGCGTTGCAACGGGGGTCGATGGTTGCAGGCCCGTAAGGATTAGCGCCCTAACCGCGCAACTTTTGCGGCGAAGCTGGAGTGATCTAGGTAGGTAGGACCTTGAAATTCCCCCGGTATCCTTCCCACGAGTCGGGCTAATCCCGGGCTTGCCTTCGAAAAGCCTACCCTTCGTACTAGGTGAACCGTCCGCTTTTCTGTACGGACTCCAAACCACTACTTATCACCTTCATACATGTACACGTTTCAAGTTGACGAGACGTTTCTAAGCGTGTACATGTTGATGTGTGGACAGGCGTTTGCGAAATGCCCCCGTATATTGTGATAGCACCCTTTTGCATTCGAGCCCTTCATTCAAGACGCTTTTGATAAAACTTCTACTGACCCTTCACCGTTAGTTTCTATGCCATTCGATGCGGCTGTTGTACCTCTTGGATGAACTATTGTTACTGTCCAGTTGGCTTTGAAACTCGGCTCGTCAAAACACGGCACCATTCGACGAGCGTCTGTTGGCTCCATTTGAGAGACTGCGACGATTCTGAAACAATACAGCCTCTACTTTGAACTTTTGAACGTTTTGCGGATGAATTTCTCTTCGTCTGCTGCTCGTCTCGTCTACGGTGTGGAATTTTGCTGATGCTCGTGCTTCTTGGCCACAAAAAGCCAAGAAGTACGAGCATCAGCAAAATTTCACACCGTAGACGAAGAGGAAATAATTGAAAAGGTGACAAGAAAACTTCTGAAATGACCGTAATAAGCAGGTGCAATCGCGTTCTCATTGCAGGGTCAATTGAGAAGAAATTCTCAATAGAGTGGTCGTATTTGTGTTTCCTGGATGGGGAGGGGGGGGGGGTTGTGCAGAGCATCGTGGTGCCGGAAGCATACAGGGGGACAATATTTCGTCTTCATATTTAAATGAACTTGATCACTTTTTGCTCAATTCAGACTGAATCCTCCCAACTTAGAATTGAAGAGCGCATTTCATTTTATAAGAAAATCTTCATAGTGGCCACCTACGTGGACGGCATCAGAAAAATTTGCCCCGGAAACATGGTGCACTGGTCGAGCTCAATGGGGTCTTCGAAGGATCGTGTACCATTACGATGTTTTCTGAAAGGCTGTTTCAAGGGGTGGAGGTTGCAGTCAGAGCTAATGTCTCTAGGAAACTATCTAACACTGGTTCAAGAAATTATAAGAGCTTCAGGCTGAAGCAGTTACGGTAGGCCTCCTTGAGCTCGACGACGGATGACAGATGACGTCATATTCTGAAGACGGTGAGGGCAGTGAAGGAGGGCCTGCGTTTACTTATAAGGGACATTTAGGGGATATTTTGCTGAAAAAAAAACTCAAGCTAACTTTGCGACAGCCTCGTACTTCGGTTGGGCGCAGGTTCTTCACGTTTCGTGCCGGAATGGAGTACTTGAAAATGAGCAAAGTAGTTGAAATTCCGGCCACTTTCCCCAAATTCAAAAGCACGGTCTCTCGTTATCTTCATTGTGTCAAGTGAGATTTTCTCATCAATCCTGTTTTACTAGTTAGGTTTGTCCTATATTGTTCGTTTTTTTCTCTTTTCCTCGGTCGTTGTGTTGTATTCGTGGTTGTGATTATATTCTTTTCCATTTCACATGCGGACTACATGTAATGAAATAAGTTTAGCGCTTACTTGGTCGTTCCATCTGTGTCTTTGTAAGTAGCCTGATACAGTCCACCGAGGGTGTCGCTAATGAGGCCGCTATAGACAACCTAAATGTCATGTGAAAATAGTTTCAGACAAGAAAGAAGATGAAGAAATAAGAAATTGTACTGCGAAAGTCAAGAAGAGTCCAACCTTGAGCAGAATTTTCTGGCCTTTTTCCAGTTGTTGCTTCAGAGTGAACTCCAGCTTCTCCAGCCTTTCATGATCCGTCACATTTTCAATGTCCAGTTTTTGATCGCCCTGAAATCTTAGTGATGATCTTGCTCAAGCATCTTTTCGCTAGTTAAGAGGTTTGCAGTCAGCTCGTTTTGGACTCGGATTAGCGGAATGGGCACATCTGGAAGAATGTGAGTTTAAAGTTTGGATCCCATTATCCCTCGAGAGAAAAAATGGGTGAAGCATTCAAATTCCAACAGTCTTTTCCAAATCTGTTCGAAAAACGAATGCGCTGGGTAGCTCAGACCAGTTAAGCATGCCAAAACATGGATCATCCAAGCATGCTTGGATTCCATTTATTCCTTTTATGAATTATTGCATTTACTTCATGATTTCAGCTTTGAGTATGGAACGTACATGAATGCCTAAGCATCAAAAGAATGCTGAAGGCTAAAGCTTGAACCCCAGGCGGGCCTCTGTGACGGCCGATAAGCTATGGTATAGTACCGTAGCTTTTCGGTAGCAACAGAGTCACGCCTCGGGCTGAGGCTATGAGCACAGAGATCATCTACGACGAAGCGGTGTCCGGTACGTGATAGTAGCACAAATGCCCGGTAAGCAAGAGATGCGAGTTCAAGTCCGC